GCCTATTGAACAGCGCCTAACATAAGTTACTACGTTACGGAGTCTCAGGACTATTAACGGTACACTTCTTAGTGGGGACTATGACATCTAGTTCCCCAGAAACTAATGTTAAGATCGACCCAGAAGTTCTAGAGATCCAGAAAAAGATATATAAAGAACTTTTACTAAAACAATATGATCTTAAGAGAGGGAGCAAATTCCTTCCGATAGATATTGAGCCATTTAAACATCAACGCCATCGTTTGGCACTACCTTTCACAGATGAAGACCGCGCTGCTAGAAGACAGTATCTTAAAGATCAGTTATTGTCAGAAAGGGAACCAGTAAATGTTCCCGAGTGGACGCGTGTCAATATATTCCGAAGAATATATAGAATGCCTTTTGATGCACTTACAAATCTAGTTAGACCCATAATCGTAAGTTTGCATCCAGTTTTATTTCACGTTAAGGGAGATCATAGAAGTTGGTACTTTCGTGCTGCTATACCGAAGGTTACATGTACATTAATATTGTTTTGGTTCGCATGGTATCGTATCAAATACTGTGATGTATGTTACGTATTTAACATTAATCATTGCTCAGAACTGGGAAACGTGCGCCAAGGCAGTAAAATCTAAAGCTTATAGAAGGCAAATGTGGCCAGTAAGTTTTCAGAATACATAATTATGTGTCCTAGGGTCAACCGGAATTCTCCACTGCTTGGAAAGTAGACGATTTCGGAATGGAAGGCTTTGATCAGAGAACTGCTCTCCTTGGAGACAAGTTGGTTACCAGTGGAGCTTGAAATCTTAAGACGCTTTTAGGAAGTCTAAAATATAACTGTAGTTCAGATCTCAAGTCCTTTTGATTGTGGGAAAAATGTCTAAATAATACGGAAGGCTTTCTTGTAATATAAGAAGTGTATAAAGGTAATTAGAAGCTTGATGTTTCCAAAAGTAGTGAGTAACATCGCGTGGTTTCAGGCATCTTTGCAATTTACAGTCTTGTGGAGGTCAAACGCCGTCTCACATCTCAATAGTTGTGTTGGTCCACACCAGTCAGCCACAACGTAGAACCTAGTACTTTGGATACCTGTCCAAAGTGCTATACCTCGTTAGCATAGAGGCATAAAATTGTCTGTACAAATCCCGGAATGGTACGTAGTAACAGTACCAGTGGTAACAGGAAACATTAAGCATCAAAAATGCGATCCAAGAAAATGTTAATTAGTGAGACAAAAGCGAAGTCATGAAGAATCTAGTATCAGAATTTCGGAGAAGACGAGCCTGCGCCATCGCAGACGATTTTGAACCATGTCGTCAAAAGTCTAACCGCATTCCATTATTTACTTGCATTGTTGCTTCAGGTGATAAGACTGTAACGGTCAGCGATCGGGATCATTTAAATGGTATTAAGTCCAGTTATCAGAGTTTAGCTAAAATCTCAATTAATTTAATAGTCAGAACTGGACTGTTATTAGAAATCTCAGGCTCCAGTTAACCAGGTTTTGCTGCTCCTCCTCGCTTTAGATTGCTTGTAGCCTTTTCAACCTTGTCGAGATTTAGAGAACTTTCGTCAACTCGCCACTCGTGTTGCTTAGAGATAGTGAGTAACTGAAGGCCAGTCGAACTGTTACCTTAAATGTTCCGCCCATCGGTCCAATCTGCTGGGTTAAGTGAAAGGTAGTCCCGTATATTTCCAATATGGCCTTACTAACAGCCGGATTTTTGATACCCATCTGTGTAATAAGTCTGAACAGCTATCTACTATTTTTCCCGTCTGTTCCGTTTTTGCTATCCACGACTGCTCACGATCAATGCGCGAGCTTTTTATCAACCTACGTTTAAGCTGCCTCCGCTTCTCTTCTTTTGAGCCAGTTAGGATGAGTTTCCGTGCACCGGTCAGTTTTGTAGACGCCGATGAAACCCAGATTTCTTGCTGCGGCTTTTCTACGTCCAGTAAGGTGCAGAAAAATACGTGCTCGAATAAGAACATGGTCCGAGTCTAAACATATGCTACAGAATAAGCGGCGGTTTTCCGTCGAGCCTCTTCTGCAATAGCTGGTGACTGTGGTCTGTCTGGGTTGATTGTGGGGTTCGCCACGTCAGAAAATTTATTTCCTTTTGGCCTGAGTTGGTGCTTGCTGGAAATAGATGGTCACCCGAGCATAGTTTCAGCAGACGGTTGTCACTATCATTTCGCTGATCTACAACACCCTAAGATACGCCTCTCCTCTCAGTTTAGTCCAACTGCTTGAATCAGGGCCAGTATTCTTGCGATATGGTTATTACAACTGTTGAAGAACCAACTGAAAGTTCAAATATATTTAGTTGAGGATACATAGCGAGACTGTAATCATCAGCTAGACATTCAACTAAATGGATAGGAAAAAGTAGTAGTGAAGAAACAGTTCTTACTCGTCTTGCTCTATATCGTGAAGGTCACATGGTTCTGTTATCCGTGTTGGTGTAAGGTATGGTAAGTAATACCAATTTGTTTTCCTACGAAACCTTATAATTTATTTGCCTGCAATCGTGACAACAGCTGATAAAAATCTGGATCAACAGTGTAAGAATACTAGGTAATGTCTAAATACCTGATATCGCCAGATATATTTCCAATCGGCCATACAACAAAAAGATGGTCAAGGATCAGTTTGACACAATAGCTAGTATGAACCCATGTTGCCAGTGCCAAGTAGTTTAGGACATATTGTATACAATAATCAGTGCTCACCTCCTTTTGAAGTTGTAGTAGATAATTCCTTACCCGAGATAGAGACGTAAGCTTTATAATAATATAAAGTTTCAACCTAGAGGATACTTTTTCAACAATACTTAGTCTGAACGTCGAATTTAACTCAATATAGCAGCTAATCTAACATAATATTCCCTTATTGAAATCATGAATCGGTCTAAGTTAGATAACTATTGGAAACATTGAAATGGCCGTTTCGTTTTACCATGGAACTTCTCCTCGGTAGTGCGCATCCACAATCTCTCACGCGGGACCCGAACCTAAGACAGTCGATGCTGCACACAAATACAACCCTTAGACTACTGAGCCAGCATCCAACTGTCTCGCTGTTCGACTTCAATTAATCCAGATCTAAAGTACCGAAACGAAAGGATAAATATACTTACGACGAGGTACATGCTATAAATAGAACGCTTGTTTTTCCCGATTGGTCAGTAAAGTACTTTATGAAAATGAAGCCATTAATACAATGTAATGAGGATATTTTTGTTTATTGTATATTTTAAGATGGAAAGACATTTTTTTTTGAGTGAACACGATGACTAGCTGAAAGATTTCTACCATTGATTTAAGAGCTATTCGAGGGTCATATTTTATGTTTGGTTTTAACTGTACATCAGCCTTACTTTTTAAACCAAAGATTTGAAATTTCACTATTTATAACTTCGTGTCCAGCTACTAAGATACGTCATAATGAATATGGTTATATAATATACCCTTGTGGGTCAGGGTAATTTTACATTGGTTTCCAGGAGAACTAGACACAATCCAGACTCCTACGTGACAACCCAAACAGTATAGCTCAATCCCATTTAACAGGAGAGCCAGGCACCATCCAAGCTCAAACTTTATAACCCGAGCAGCACAGCTCAATCCCGCTACGCAGGAGAACCAGACACCATATAGGCTTTGACGCTACAATCTGAAAAGTACAGTTCAATCCTGTGGCGGAACAACACAGATGCCAGCACCCTGGTGGACCATTCGCACCATTCATATCCGCATTCACGTCATATGTATAGTTATTCCGATCAATGATCGCGTGTATCAACGATGCACAGCACGAACAGGCCAAAGTTGACCTATTCCACTTACACGACAGTCAAACTCATTAATGTTAGCAATGGCAACATGCCTTACAATGTCTCAATGACTCTTGAGAACACTGAAAAGCAACCACCAGTATGAATGAAATCGGTTAACAAACAAACCAATTTTGCACATGAACAGTCAACAAAACTTGCCAAAGTAATGCTGAACCATCCAAAATACCAATGGCGAACCTCCAATCTCATATGAGATCCTCAGCTCTACATAGCCATATAGCTTCATGAATGGGACTCATATAAAGAATTGGATGCATAGAAGTATATGAAAATGTTGAGAACCATTTCATTCACTTATATATTGAGTTTTTGGAAGGAGAATTCACCAACAAAGAATATAGTCGTTATATTATTGACCCCTTGGCGGTAGGTGAAGCTAATTTGAACACTATCAATTAATAAACTAAGTGTTTATATAATCGACATACACATGAACAAATGCAGATGAAGACAGCCAGTGTAGCAGCAGTCTCTGCATCAGTAGGCCTCAAAATACGCAAAGGGAAAACCAAGGTCCTCAAATTCAAAACGAAGAACAGCAGTCCAATCACTCTTGATGGCGAAACTCTGGAAGATGTAGAATCTTTCACATACCTGGGAAGCATCATCGATGAACAAGGAGGTTCAGATGCAGACGTCAAGGCGAGGATTGGCAAAGCAAGGGCAGTATTCTTACGATTAAAGAACACATGGAACTCAAAACAACTCTCAACTAATATCAAAAGTCAAAATCTTCAATACCAACGTCAAGGCGGTTCTACTGTATGGAGATGAAACTTGGAGAACTACTACAACCATCATCAAAACAGTACAAGTATTTATAAATAGTTGTATACGAAAGATACTCAACATCCATTGGCCGGATACCATCAGCAACAGCAACAAACCAGCTTCCAGCTGAAGAAATTAGGAAAAGACGATGGAAATAGATAGGACATACACTACGCAAATCATCAAACTGCATCATGAGGCAAGCCCTAACTTGGAATCGTGAAAGGAAGTGGAAAAGACGAAAACCAAAGAACACATTACGTTGGGAAATGGAAGGAGATATGAAAAGGATGATTGACAACTGGAAAGGATTGCCTAGGACAGGGTTGGATGGAGAATGTTAGTGAGCAGCCTATGCTCCCTCACAAGAAGTAAAAGGCGTAAGTAAGTAAGTAAGTAACATAATCGACGTAATTTTATAATGACATTATATAATTAAACTTTTAAACATTACTGAGAAATGTAATACGAACTAGTAATCATAGTAATAATAATTATTAACTAATTATATTTGAGAAATGAAAACAAAACAGTAAAGTACACAAATAAACTTATCATCAAGATGATTACGAAATCGTCACACAAAAAAACTCCTTTAGTTCTCGTTTTCAAAATGTCAATAATAATAATAATAATAATAATAATAATAATAATAATAATAATAATAATAATAATAATAATAATAATAATGACATGTACTGATACGTATATGTGGAATTGTAAGAACCGGTTACTTACATTCACCCTCAAGATGTAGTTTTTTATTAATTACTGTATTCAAGAATAAAATCTAAACCAAATGAATAGTGTAACAATGAAAGTGAAAACAAGAAAGACAAATGAATTAAGTTGTCATTATTATTATAATGTAACATACAATAATGGGTAGTTAAACTGATGATTATTGTTTATTATTTGTCATCAGATAAGGCAATTTCTTTAAATAAACATTTCACTGTACGATTTAATTTAATAACACGATTACGTAATGCATTGGTAATTTTATTATTGTTTTTATTTATTGAATTATTATTATTATTGTTATTTGTTGAGTTTAGTAAAGTATCAAGACGTGTATTAAGTAAGTGTAATATTGCTGGTCCATGTACTGATGTAGTAGGATCATCAAATTCAAGACAAAGAATAGCTTCTTGAAGATATCTATTTTAAATGAAATAAAAAGTAATAAATTATATGAAAATAAACATTTATGAACATTATCAGAAGGGGTTTTGTGGAGAGTTTAGAAATTTCACTAGTTGAAATCATGAGTCAATTGAAGCTAGACCACCATGGTAAATCTGAAAGCACTGGACGGCCGTTTCGTCCTAGTATGGGACTCCTCAGCACTACGCATCCACGATCCCGCACTCCGCAAGATTCGAACCCTGGACCTATCAGTGGCCGGCTCAGTGGTCTAGTTGGTTAAGCGCCTGGAGCGAGACTGATAGATCCTGGATTCAAGTCTCGCGGATCGCGGATGCGCACTGCTGAGGAGTCCCATGCTAGGACGAAACGGCCGTCAAGTGCTTCCAGGTTTACCATGGTGGTCTAGCTTCTATTGACTCATGATTTCAATCTGTGAAATCTATGAACATTGTTGAATAGTATGTACTTATTTAGGTAAAGAGAGAACAATGAATACAAAATAATATAAATTTATTTTATTTTGAGTGAAAAATACGTGTCAATGTATCGCTAAGTACTTTGCAAAGAATTTGGGATTATTGAGATGTCCCAATACTGAATACTGCAATATTTACTTACATACGCCCGTCACTCCTCGTGGAGGATCATAAGCCACCTACCAGCAATCTTCATTCAACCCTATTCTGGACAATCCTTAACAGTTGATATTCACCCTTTTGATGCCTGCTTCCAATTTCCGACGTAATACGTTCTTCGGCCTCCTTCTCTTCCGTTTTCCTTTATGATCCCAAGTTGGGACTTGCTTCCTGATGCAGTTTGGTGATTTCATAATGTATGTCCTATCCATCTCCAGCGTCTCTTCTTGATTTCCTCTTCAGCGGAAATCTGGTTTGTTCTCACCCATAATAGGCTGTTGCTAATAGTATCCGGCCAACAGGACGTTCAGTATCTTCCGCAGACAATTGTTTATAAACACTTTTATCTTTTTGATAATAGTTGTAGTAGTTCTCCACATTTTAGTAGAACTATATTGACGTTCGCATTGAAGATTGTGACTTTGATGTTGACTGAGTTGTTTTGACTCCCATATCCTCTTCAACTACAGGAATGCTGTCCTTGCTTTTCCAATCCTCGCATTTACGTCTGCATCAAATCCTCCACGTTCATCGATGATGCTGTCCAGGCACGTGAAAGTTTCCCCACTTTCCAGATCTTCTCCAGCGAGTGTGATTGGGTAGGTTTTCTCCGCGATGGATTTGAGGATCTTGCTCTTTCCCTTGCCTTTGTTGAGGCCTACCGTTACAGAGACTGCTGCTACACTGGCTGTCTTGACCTTTATTTGTTCGTGTGTATGGGATAGTAGAGCTGGGTCATCTGCCAAGTCCAAATTGTCTAGTTGCATCCAAACTGTCCACTGTATTCTATGCTTCCCCTCAGATGGAGAGGTCTTCATAATCCAGTCAACCACCAGAAGAAAGAGAGGGAGGAATTGAGAAGCCTTGTTTGACTTCGGTCCTCACTTGGAAAGCGCTTATGAGCTGTGCTCCATACACGACTTTGCAGTGTAGGTTTTCTACGCAGTTCTGCTTGTAGGTTCTAACGTTCCTCTTCAATCTTGTTCGCTTCTGTATATTCGTCGTGTGCCTTGGCTTTCTCTCCTCTTGGTTGACTGAACAGTTGCTGTCTTATTATTCTTCCTTTATTGAACCTTGGCTAGAGTTTCGAAATAGATCCATTCCTTATGATGATGCTTCTTGCGACCCAGAACCTCCTGACACACTGAAGTTAGCGCTACTTTGATCTCTTTCCAGTTGTCCGCCACAGTAGTTTCTTCTTCCAGTATATGTAGTAGGGCTTGGAACCTCTTGTAAAGTTATCTTGAATTTGTTGAGTTTGTTAGTATCACGAAAGAAGGCTGTATCAAACCTTGCAGTGCTGTTTCTCCAGCTATCCAGTGCTTCTTTGGCTTCAGATATATCTTGAAAACCACAAGCAGGTAGTGATCTGAAGCTATGTCAGCTCCCAATGCTGCAATAATTTGAAATTAATTGACAGCGGGTATATTGCTGACAGTATTAGAGGTAATGGAAAGGATAAAAAAACCAGTGGAATTATTCGAGAAGTATGGGTTAGTGTAGTAGAAATATTTATTATATTACTTAGAAACTTAGGATTTATGGAAAGATAAAGAGTGAATGGATCTATGCCGTTACGAACAATTTTGAGCTACGTTATCCAATTTCTCTAATCAATGGTTATAATAATCACGCAGACTCCAACTAAGTGGTTTCCACCTACCTAAGTCACACAGTCCAACAGTCAATGTCTTGATAGATTGATCCCACTTCATGCATCAGCCGTCCCCAGATTCCTTCCAAACTGCTCATACATTAGCTACCATCGTACGTCGAGGATACTTAGTACATGTTCTCAGTCCATAAAGATTAACTACTTCGTCACTCGATTTGCCATCCTTACTTATTAGTGTTCATAACCTCAGAATAGCTAAATTGATGATCTCAACATACACGAACAATGACATTAGAGACCCCTATGAACAAATACTAGTAGCCTACAAATATTTACGTTTCACAGGTCCAAAGTAGTTAAGAGACGGATATCTCGTTTGCGCATCACAAGTAAGGCAAAGTTTGCAAAAGCCGACTTGGTTTTCTGATTCGTATGATTTTAATCCAGTTAATTTCCCTTCTATCTATTAATCACCGACCGTATGATGTGAACATTAACAACTTGGAACAGCAAATACTTGCACTGTGTCTCTTAACTGACTAAGGCTAATTCAACTGAAGTAGTATCCAACTATGATGAAATAAACATTTTGTAAGCTTAACATAGCTCAACATCATCATACTAATTAATAGGACACATAAACATATGTGAAAACTCACTTGACTTTTAAATCCAATTGAGCACTTAAATCACCACAACTTAATTGATGAATTAAAGACAATAAAATATTTTGACCAATTGTATGATCACCAGAACTGAAAAGTTTATTCACATCAATATCATTACAGATATCTAGAAGAAGTGGTTGGTCAGTAGAAACTAAAGCCTAAAAACAAACAAAATGAAATAATATATTGTCGAGTAAAACAACTGCCACAGACTCAACAATTTACCAATTAATCATCATGTATTCAATAAGAACTGTCTTCACGAACAATTCCCGAAGTGTGACTATCTGTGATCAATAAAGTTCAAATATTCTAGAAGATAACTATTGTCAAGGTTATCGTCGTGCTGTTACAAACTGACTGAAAGCTGAAAATAGGAACTGTTATATTATAAGTGAGGAGTCACGTTTGTCGTGTGACATAAAAATCTTGAGCTTGTTTCCATTTGACATTATGGTGGATGAGCGTTGATAAAGAGTTCCAAACTGATAAAAATAAAAAATATCTAGTGTTCTATGTTCTCAAAAGTATCCCATGAAAATAAACATCTAGTTGGCTAAACTCTATAGAACTTACTGACTTGAAACGAGTACGTCGATATTAAGAATGAATGACCGTATCAATATAAATATCAGTTCATGTCTTGATGTTTAGATGAACTACCTAATATTTTGCTTTGATCGTCTAAATAAACTGAAAAATATACTCACCTAATAGATGTAAAAGAGTTTATAACAGAAGGATATACCGTCTATTGGGATGTTTAGCAATGGTTACGCATAGAGACATGTTTAAAAAAGGCTAACGTTCACAGTCAACCAGAAATGTGTGCGATATCATTGGATAGAAATCTCTGAATATAGGTAATGAGGTGTGTCAGTAGGTTGACATATCAAGCATGATAGTCAAAATTTACGAAAGACATGACACCGTTAAAGTAGTACTGTGGTGTGGGTTACTTATATCCACACAAGTAGTATATGACAGTGGTCAGGCGTAGAATGTATTTCAGTAAAAGATCGATGAGGAAAGAACGGGAATGAAACGCAATCGGTATGAAAACGCATGAACAACGAAATCTGAGACAATGGATTGATATTTGCAACAGGAACAGTCAAGTTAGATATGATGGATGTGTGGTTCTCAGATTTTATTGAGATGCTCTGTAATTTAGTGTCAAATACATTCGATTGTCCACACTGGTGTTCTTGTTCAATACAGTACAAATGTTATTCAGTTTTTATTTTGCTCTAGACCTATTGGATTTAGTGTCATTCATACAATCTACTAACACGATTTTATTATTGTTATATCCGGAAGAAGAATGAGTGAATGGTAACTATTGAGTAACCATAATATATGTACACTCATATCCCTTTTATTACCAGCTTTTATTTGACCTAGTGGCTACAATGATTAGACTTACTATTCTTAAGTTATTCCCAATTTATTAGTTACAGCCTCTCACAACCATAGCTACCTTCGCCTTGATCTTGTACAAACGTTATTTTCTATTTTATAGTATGATGTGGTCTATTTGGCTTGTATATAAGCCAATTATGTGTGAAATATATGATTCATATAAAGGAGGCTAATATTGGCGTTCCGCACTGAACCGGCTGGGTTAAGCGAAAAGTCAATATTTCGGAGGACTAACTCCGAGTGCCTCTAGGTCAGTCTGCCAGTCAGCTACAACGTAGGACCAGGCACATATATGCATCGGTCCAAGTTGCCATACCGCATTAGCACAGCAAGATGAACATCGGATTCATAGGAGTGGTTAAGTCAATGGTGATAATATATAGGAGAAAGATTGCATATGAGGATACAGGAAGAAAGAAAGATATGAGGCGATTTTAATCTCTTAGTTCAAAGGAAGACAGAGAGTGTATACGCCGACGCCATTGTGATCGATTCTGAGCCATGTCACCAAGAGTCTCCAACCATTGGTTACGATAGTCATGCGGACCCTAACCAAGTAGTCTGCATCTACCAACATGATTAAGACTAGAATTTCGTGACTTTGTGGACTGATGCCACGTTTTGGTTTGGCCACCCTTTTAATAAAACTAAAATTTAAATCTATTCTGTTTGTACTTACACCAATCTCAAACGTAGTAATGTTGATTAACTTTCAATATTCAGAATAATGCTAATTATGTTTTTTTTTTTTCTTTTAATGATCATCTCTGTTTGTCTGATTAAACATTTTTTATTTATAGAATTTAAATGTATCAATAAGTTCATGTATCATCAGTCAATGTACTTGAAATCTAATGGGCATATATCAAATATAGTTCTGTTTAACCTCTTCAACTTTACATATGACATTATCTAAATTAGTAGAGATCATTTGATCAACCAGAGAGTTTAACATGTTGATTTGTCACATTTGTCGACAAGATATATCATCGATCTTGTAAGAAACTGATTTGAACATTTGTCATCTTACACAATTTGATATGTTACCCTTTGAGTTATGGAGATTTCTTAACTATTAACGAGAAACACAATAGGGTGCTGTGGAAATTTTTAAAATCGAAGATTTACATCACCAAGTGACTTTAGTTAAATAAATAAAACACTGAAAATCAGAGAGGAATGAATATAAAAAAAACCACTGAATGAGATCCCAGTAGTTTGGATAAAAAGCATTTGCTGCGAAATATGGAGGTCCTGGGTTCAGCAGTCACTAGTGGAGTCGTGGATGTGTAATTACTAAGCAATACTTTCATGTAAGCAAGAAATAGTTGTTCAGTGACTTTTGGTTTTCAATAATTACCTCATAAATATATGCATGTATTAGAGATCAATCTATCCCATTTTGAATACTGAAATAATAATATTAATAAAAGCTATTTCCTCAGTCATAAAGGCAACACACAACTGCTTCTTATACTAATAATTAACTACATCTACAAACATGTTATTTCTCTATATGGCAGCTAGCTGGGTAATGGAGACAACTCTGCTAGACAACCTAGACGGTAGCAAAGACCGGGTCGGTCACCCACTATGTTGTAAACTCGGGCTCATAATTTCACTCGCTATCACTTTATATACAAAGAAAGTACTTAAATAGGGAATTTCTAAATCGATTATAGAATAGTAACATTGTGGCGTAATGGATAAATACACATGATTTACAATAAATGTGCAGTTAGAATTAGTTATTGTTTTTCGTCTACTAACCAAACACATGATCTAAAAATCACAGATTATTATTATTTCCATCATCCTTATTGGCATAAAGAGGAGTAAATGAGCCCCCAAATGCCCTGGTATGACCAAGAGTGGGGAAAGTCCGCTCTCCCTCTCGAAATGCTCTCACATGACCACACATATATAGCCTCCGCCAGGGAAGTCCTACTCACTGCCTTCTCTTACCATGGGTGTTTTTTTACGAAATTGAGAGGACGAAAAGCGAATATCCAGCGTTTTAATCAGGTTGGTGGACATGGAGAGTCCATCTAGGGGAGTTGGAAAACCCTCATTCCAAACCAATGGTGCACATGGGCTCCAGTATCCTGAGGGAACAAATGGCATATGAACCAATTGTTGGTCACCGGCTACCATGGGACTGCATCTCCTTACGATCCTCCAATGTCCTGTGGATTAGACCTTCAGGTAAAAGACTCGGGGTGTGGCCCCCTAAGGAAGCCACCCCCTTCGGTCTGAGCACCCGGGCAGTATCACAGCCCTCACACACATTAAATGAGATCTATGTGGTGCATATGTATTTGGTGCCTCCTTATACCAATATCTATGTGTTATAATAAATAATGAGAAATACTGAACTCTCATAAATATTTTCTATATTTCTCTATTTGAAAGCATTTGTTCGACCAAGATAAACGTTGTTATCTATTTTACTCTTTAAGATTTATTATTCCTTTAATACTCCGTTTTTTGAAATCACTTATAAATAAATTTTGCATGCATTGCCATTTCCTTCTATGTGTGTGTGTGTATGTGTTGATATGTGGGTCAGACAATTCAAGTCGTATATTATTATTGTATGTATCTTGAGTTATGAATAAATAAAGTACAATAGACAAGATATCTGTATTCCAAATTTAATCTTTTGACTAGACACTAAGTTGGAAGTAGCTTCATGATCAATAGAGAGGTCAATTAGTCGTAATAACTGTTTACTGATCATTGTATCATTTATCTTACAGGGGATATAGCCGGAATAATCAATAAATTGATATGTTTAATATTAACTCTTATCATAAGTAAATCTGAAGTTATACAGAGGACAAAGTAAAGTAAGGCAATTCTCCTTTTTTTTTAAAATTATATAAATATATTCACATCAAGTGAATATAACTTCAATTCATTGCACAAGCAGGTGGCTATCAGGATTCAGTAGCTAAGTGCATAACGTAATGGCGTTTAAAGCGAACAGTACTGGGTTCGAGTCCCAGAGTGAACGTCAATTCTGAGATGCAGGTACATTCAGCTGACGAGTCTCAAAAAGGACAAAACGTGCGTCCTGGATTCCCCTGCGAGCCACTATCTATCTTTGCTTATATAAAAATATATTGTTCATGATTACATTTATTGATATTCATAATTTTTAATTTTAATATCTGAATGTTTCTTCTCATTCTTTTAATCAACACTATAGTAACTTACGTACTTATGACATTTATTTATAACCAATATTATTCAATGTTTTAGACTTAATTGAAAGCTTAATAATCTGATAAACGATTATAGAGATTTATCATTAGTCAATCAGAAAGCAAGAATTTAGTTATGAATTAATTTAACCTTCTCTTCTGGTTTTGAATGCTTCTTGCATGATACATTGTTTATCGCTGATAAATACACTGCTGTACATATATACTTCTTATTTTCAATTATACCCTATCATGATAACAGAACTCTGATATATTTGTTGTCTATGTTTTACAGATCATAGAGATAACCTCATTACATGCTTTATCTGGATTATAGTTGTAATGACTAACTATTTATAATTGTGTAATACAAAACCAAAAAACAAACAAACTTGAACACACCTACTCCTGACAATTTAAATAACGTCAAGTATATTTTTCTTCGTGTATAGTTTATGTTTCGTATATTAACAAACAAAGTTTTCTTTTTTGTAATAACTTTGTCATTATTTTGGTTAACCCCAAGTTCA